TCCAACTGCGCGCTTGGCGCCCTACGCGACCACCAGCCCGCGCCCTACTCGGCAGGTGAGCGCAGCCCCGGCCCAACCCTCCCTCCAATTCCTGCAGAATCCCCGGGTCCGCTCGCCAAGTGAATGCGACTGTCTCCCTCAGCCGCCCCCATTCCTGCCTTGGCCAGACCCTCTGATGCCCCGAGAGACCCCCAGAATACGAGAGGTTCTCCTTCGCAGGAATGAGCCTCACCCTCTCATCTCTCCTGTTCCTTTTTCTCGTTGCCAAATCTCTGTCTCGTGCCCTTCAGGTCAAGGAAATGGATCCCCATCCAGCTCTGGGCCCCTTACCAGGCCTTCCCCTCACCACCTGCAAAGACTGACCGCTAAACCTTCCCCTCACCACCTGCAGAGACTGACCACTAAACCTTCCCCTCACCACCTGCAGAGACTGACCACTAAACCTCTACAAGCCCTGGATCTTTGAAAAAGGCTCCCAGCTCAGCCCTGTCACCACTTATCACCCCACGCCGTCACCCCTGCCCCACAAGATGCATGACCCCCAGCAAGGACCTCTGCAGGCAGCTGAGCTGCCCAGACGGGAAGCTTCCTAGAGCCCCCCGTGGCCATCAGGCCCTTCCTGCCCTGTCTTGGACCCATGCTGCCTGGGCCCGAACCCTTTTGTAGCCACCAAAACCAGATCCCGTAGCCCGCAATAAAGGGGCCCGGGTTTTTAAGCCACTTGTATTTCCCCATTCCCCCACAGACTCTCCCAGCTAGAGTCCTGTAGAACATGGAAGCAGCTCCTGTATCCCCAAGCCTTTTGATCCAAGTCCCTGTCCAAACCCTCAACCTCACTGAGCTTCTCAGTCATCTCATCCCTCTGATTACAGTCCCAGCCTGCCTCATGGAATTTTATCTCCTTCCCTCCTGGGAAGACCACTGGGGACCCAAGTAGAAGACTGGGGCCTAAGGGCCAGGCACAGTGGCTCACGCCTGTAATCCCAGCATTTTGGGAGGCCAAGGCGGGTGGATCACTTGAGATCAGGAGTTCAAGACCTGCCTAACCAACATGGTGAAACCCCATCTCTAGTAAAAATACAAAAAAAAAAAATTAGCCGAGCACGGTGACCCACGCCTGTAATCCCAGCTACTTGGGAGGCTGAGGCAGGAGAATCGCTTGAACCTGGGAGGCAGAGGTTGCAGTGAGCTGAGACCATGCCATTGCACTCCAGCCTGGGAGACAGAACCAGACTCCATCTCAAAAAAAAAAAAAAAAAAGAAAAAAAAAAGACTGGGCCCCTTAGACTGGGAGCTGGGGGAGAGATACGAGAAATGAGAACCTGGATTTGGAGAAATGAGAACCAGGGTGGGGAGATTGGGTACCCTGAGCCAGATGAGGGTAGGGATTGGGAAGAGGGGAGACAGGCTCCAGAGATACAGGGTTTTGAGACCAGAGAGATGGGGATAAGGTACAGAGAGATGGGAGCAGAGGTGGAAGCACTGGAAATCCTAGGAGAAATGGGGACTCAGGGTTGGGGAGATAGAGATAACAATCAGGTGATGGGGACCAAGGAAGATTAGAAATAGAGATGAGGAAGATGAGAATACAAATGGGGTGCTGGAGACAAGAATCAGGGGAGATGGAGGCCTGGAGAGATGGGGCAAAGATGGAGATTGGAGACCTCTGGTGAATATGAAGACTTAAACCAGGGTTAGAGACAGGGAAGGGAGGTACTGTCAGAAACACTACCTATGGGGCGGTGGAGACTGGGATGGGTATAGGAAGAGAGTTAGGGGGCAGTGTTGGCTTTGGAGGAGATGGGACATGGAGAAGGTGCCTGGAGAAGAAGAAGAAGGGCAAAGAGAAGATGGAGGAAGTCTTCTCAATGGGCACAAAGAGAAGAATGGCCCAGAAGTGGAAAGTTGAAGAGAGATTCAAATGGAGGAAGATGACGAAGAGGAGAGGGGGACATCTAGGGGAGAATGAGGGTCAGGGGAGTGGGGCAGGATTGAAGAAATGAGGCTTGGGAAGGGGGGAGGTTGATGGGTGGAGGGAGCCAAATCTGTATACAGCTGAAAGCCGGTGGGATGGCTGGTGGTAGGGCTGAAAGGAGAGCCGGTGGGAGGTTCTCTGTTGCAGAGCCTTGGCCCAGAACTAGTTAGTGGGAAGCCTGGCAATGCTGATGAGACTTGACAGACATCCAGGGCCAGGGTAAACAGAGGGAGCAGACGGGCTGAGAGACAGGAGGGGAGGGCCGGAGGCAGGGGTTGAATGGGGGTGCAAGGGGAGGTGGAGGGAACAGGGCTTGGGAGGAGGGCGTTGACGGGGGTGGGGTGGGGGAGGGGGTGTCTTGGCTGGAGTATTGGATTATGCTTTCCCCTTGGCCGCTCTTGGGGCTCGGGTCTCCCTGATCTCCATCTGCCTTTATCCCGCGGGCTCCACTGAGTGATAGGGTGAACGCTCCGCCCCAGGCTGTTGGGACCAAGACGAGGGACCAGGCGAGGGACGGGGGAAGCATGTGATTCCCTCGGAGCTGGAAACAACGGGTTGAACTCTGCTTCTCACTCCCCTATCCTTGTTGCTCCCCCACCCGCCCTGCACACACCCGCAGTGCCCTACAAGTTCTTCCCAGAGCCGTCCGGCCTGCACGAGAAGCGCAAGCAGCGGCGCATCCGCACCACATTCACCAGCGCACAGCTCAAGGAGCTGGAGCGCGTCTTCGCTGAGACCCACTACCCCGACATTTACACGCGTGAGGAGCTGGCTCTCAAGATCGACCTCACTGAGGCTCGCGTGCAGGTGCGTATATGCACGTGTGTGTACGAGAGTGTGTGCCCATGGAAGGAGGAGACCCGATCTCCCAAGGTAGCTTCAGGCTACCTCCGCTCTGTCTCCCTCCTAGGGCAGAACGTTCCTAGAGATGCTTGAGAAGCCAGGAGGGAGGCCGAGGGGGTAGAGGGAGAGACCCAGGCGACCTCGGGGCCGAGCTGAGGAGTGGAGGGAGGCCAGTCAGCACCCCTGGGGTTCCTATCCCGGCGCTGCAGCTTTGAAAACCCGGAGCCCGGGAGGCTGAGTTTGTGGCAGGCACAGGACTGAAGAGAGCCGGGCTAGAGCAGACTGTTGTCTATTTGTACAACTCCGTGTACAGATGTTCATTTGGCCCACCTTGACTGGACGCCCTAGACAAAAGGTTTTCCTGGTGCCCTAAACTGCTCTCCACGGCCCTGGAACGCTCCAGGAGGGAAGTCCCAGAGCTTCCTAAAAGAAGGAATTGGGGGAAGAACTTAGGGTGAGGAGAAGGGAGGCAGGGTCCCCTCCAGGAGACCAGGAGTGCTGAGAGGCAGCGGAGTCAGCGGGTGAGTGGATCCCAGGGGCAAGAACCCAGGGATCTGGAGGCAGGGGCCAGTGGAGCGTGCAGAGGGCAGCGGGCTGAGTGCAGGAGGGCCGAAGGCCCCTCCAACTAGTAAGAACCCGGGCCCGGTTCTCTCCGAACCAGGATCTCACTCGAGCCTTGCGATCGCGGGCTGACCCCGTGCGTTCTCCGACCCTCGTCCAGGCTGACTGGCCCCTGTGCCCGCAGGTCTGGTTCCAGAACCGCCGGGCCAAGTTCCGCAAACAGGAGCGCGCGGCCAGCGCCAAAGGGGCGGCGGGCGCGTCGGGCGCCAAAAAGGGCGAGGCGCGCTGCTCCTCAGAGGACGACGACTCCAAGGAGTCCACATGCAGCCCCACGCCGGATAGCACTGCATCGCTGCCGCCGCCGCCTGCGCCCGGCCTGGCCAGCCCGCGCCTGAGCCCCAGCCCACTGCCCGTCGCACTGGGCTCCGGGCCGGGACCCGGGCCAGGGCCACAGCCGCTCAAAGGCGCACTGTGGGCAGGTGTGGCGGGCGGTGGGGGCGGCGGGCCCGGCGCAGGCGCGGCCGAACTGCTTAAGGCTTGGCAGCCGGCCGAGTCCGGCCCCGGGCCCTTCTCCGGGGTTCTGTCCTCCTTTCACCGGAAGCCCGGCCCCGCCCTGAAGACCAATCTGTTCTAGCTGCCAGCCTCTGGAGGCTCCGAGCCTGCCCCCAGAGACGTCCCTGCCCCTCCAGGACCTGACAGTCCCTCCCATCCTGGCCACCCACCTGGAAGTCCCCATCTGTCTCCACTCCCTACTGTCTCACCCCTGGGTGTGTCCTCCCTAACTTTGGAGACCAAGTCAGGGCCACTCTCGTCCTCACCCACCCTCTACCAGCAGAGCGGAATTCTTTTCACCGGGACCCCCTCCAGGAGAACCCCGGAGCCTCTTCTAGCTTGGCCTTCTTTGGATGCGGTACCACATGAGGCCTGTCCCTAACACAGTGCCCTCAAAGTGAAGGTCCTCAAGGAGGAGCGGCACAGCCCCCTTCCCTGGCTCTGCAGTGGCTGGGTCACCCCTTACGTTGGTGACCAGGAAAGTCTGCTGCCCCACCCCTCGGGCCCACCCGCCTTAACCCCACCCATACAGAGGCTGGTGGTTGCGGGATAGGTTGCGGGATAATCAGTGGCCACTGCCAATGCGTCCCTCACGTGTCTCCTCTCTTCCTTAGCCCGTGTGGCACAGAGGGTGGACCTGTTGGAGGAGTGGAGGGGCTGCCCAGGGAATGGGACAGAGGTATTTCCTTTCCCTAAATTTTTTGGTTGTCCTTTTTCTTTGAAAAACTTGTAATTTATTGAAGTTTTACTCAATCCAAATAAAACTTAATTTATTGAAGACATCACGCCGCAACCCTTCCGACTGCCCAGGAGACTGCCTGCAAGACCTTGTCCCGGGCTGAGACCTGCGAGGAACCTCCCTCCCCAAGCCCGCCGCCATGCATCCGCAGCGCAGGGCAGCACGGACAAGGAGACAGAACTAAGCAAACTGGCACTTTATGGCTGAGATCCTGCCCCACCCCAACTAACCCCAATAATATTAAGGTGCCCTCCCTCCCCAACCCACACAGAACAGTTTAAATAAACCCCAGCCCGGTCCTCGGGCTCTTCCTTCATTTCCGGACGGACACCCGCCCCCACCTCCAGCGGGGGTGGGGAGGTCTTAGCGAAGCGCCTCCCATGTGGTTCAGGCCCGGTGGAAGGCTGCAGAAACACTGGTGAAAGTGGGGGCCCAGACGTACCCAAATGGGCCCCCACAGGTACCCCTGGGGCTGGGAGGCGGAGTCCAGTAAAAGGACAGCACCAGAGTAACCAGGGTCCTCGGTAACCATGGCAACTGACCTTCCGACCTGAGCCTAAAAGGCGAAGGGCAGGATGCCCTAATTAGGGCATTGCAAATGATTGGGCAGCGGGGAATGCTGATCCCCAATAAATAGGCAGAGACATACTCCCCTGACCCTCATAACTTTTCAACCCTGGGGCCATAGCTGGGCCTTGGTAGCAGGGAGAGACGCTGAGTTCACAGCTTCGTGGTGCCTCCGCTATCACTTGCTGAGCTGCAGGGTGTCCAGAAGGAGGCGCTTGTGAGCCGGGTCCTGCACCCCAGCCTCCTCCAAGTCCTCCTCGGTGATGTCACTGTGGAGTAAAACAGGCTGGGAAGTGAGATGGGCTAGGGGGTCCTGAGGGCCCCAGCTCCGCCCCCGGGGCCAGCCCCTCCCCCACCTGAGAAACTCCAGGTCGTCCCAGCCATTATGCACCAGGCCCTCCTCATAGCGCTCCAAGCCGATAGCCCGCAGCCAGGCGCCCATGCCTGCCTCGCCCAGCCCGCTGGCCCGCCCGCCCTGCGGGCACGGAGCCTAAGAAAACAGGGCATGTCAGGGGGAGCTCAGTGTCCCCCATAGAAACACCTGCAGACAGTCACATTCTGCTGCATGCTCTGGGGAAAAGGAAGGGAAAGGCTGGGCTGATTCATGTGTCTCCCAACTTCCCAGTGCTCGGTTCAGGGTAGCGGGGACACCATGAGAGCTGAATGGTGGAGTGAAAGGGTACCAGTCTGTGGGCAAGCACACTCCTCAGGCACAAAGACAGCCACCCTGCTCCACACACCTCCTCTGCCAGGTCTTCCTGGATGCTCTCCCGGATGCGGGGTGGAGGGAAGCTGAGGGGCCGGCCATAGTCCGAGGACAGTCCCCGGTGTGGCTGCAGCTCCAGGGGGCCTGGGAGGAGTGCTGAGCGTGCGGGCCCAGCAGGGGCGTAGTCCACCTCGCTCAGCGTCTTGGCCATCTGCAGCACCGAGCAGGACCGGTCATCCCCACCGGCCACTTCCCCCAGGAAAGTGCTGGCTGGTGAGGGGCCTGGGGGCAGTGGGGGCCTTGGATGGGCCTTGGGAGGCGGCGGGCCACGGGCCTCACCCCCCCCACGGCCCCGGACCACTGGCCCTGGTAAAGGATCCAGGCTAGGTGACAGGAAGATGGCTGAGTCCGGCAGTGGTGGAGGTGGAAAGTCTGGAGGGGGCAGCGTGCCTCCAGACTCTTCATCTGAAGAACTCCCCTCTCCCACCCGAGGTGGCCGGTGGCGCCCAAGCTGTGGAGCAGGCACTGTAATGGCCACTTTGTTCTTCGTGGCAGGTGGGACAGGGGCCCTGGCAGGCGAGGGTGGCTCCGGGGGCAGCAGCTGGTGTGGGACCCCTTCAAGGACGTAGTAGGCAGGGTTATTGAAGCTGTTCTTGGGAGGGGGGGCGGCCACCCCTTCTGGTTCAGGAGCTCCCTCTGGCTTCAACCTGGGTGTAGAAGCAGAATGACTCCAGGATCCAGGAACCCAGGTCTAAGGCAGTGGGAGCAGTGGAGGGAGAACTAGACAGGAGTCAGAAAGGCCCCTGGTCCTAGACTTTCTCATGACCTTGAGCACATCAGCTGCCCTTAGTTTCTTCATCTATAAAGGTCAGCGGGAGGATAACCCTTTGAATGGATAACCCTTGCCTCACTTGCTAAGATTCTTAGATCTTTCATATCTTTATCTGTAGCTGTGAAACCTAAGCTAAATGGTTCAGAATAGAGGTGCCAGAAGACAGGTCAAGTAAAGCCTCCAATGAGAGGCCAGGTTTGGAAAGCCTCTCGAGGCACCCACAGTCAATCCACTGCAGAATCTTTCTCAGAGATTCAGGTGGGTCTTATTCAAACCTGGGGATAAAACCCGGGTGACTGACAACAGCTGAAGATGAGTAAAAAAGCACCAACCTGTACCTAGGAATTTATGTAAGTTTAAGCAACCACTGGATATAATTAGAAAGCAAGCCTCACTTTCCCAAAGTGTGACACAGAGCACTAATTCCCCAGGACGTTAATAGTTACTATGTGGAAAATAAGTTTCCTGGCCCATTAAGTTTGAGAAACCATATTAAACAGAGCTGAAAAGAGGTTTCCTTCCTGTCCACATGCTCAGAGCTTTTGGTAATACTAATGTGCACTGGGAATGTCTAAGAAAAGAATCTAGAAAAAAGCATTTCCCAAACTCATTTGACCACAAACCCATTTCAAGTGGGGCCTCTTGCAGGACAGAGTTCCAAAGAAGGTACCCTGGGAAATCCCAGGCCGAGCCGTGTGCCTCCTCTAAACAGAAGGCTCAAGCTAGGTCTGTTTACATGGAGGGAGCTGTCTTAAAAACAATTTCAAATTCCATTTTTAAAGGCGGAATTGAGAGGAAAGGCTGACTGCTCCCTTTGACTCAGAGCCACACCTAAGGGTGGCCTGGCTGGCCAGAGTGGCCACAGGCATAAGGCTGTGGCACCTTCAACCACAGGGTAGCAGGGCACCTAAGCAGCTGACGATCCCCAATCCAGCCCTGAGACCCTGCAGGGGATAGTGATGGATAGAGGTGGGCAGGGGAAGCAGGGGCAGTGACAGGTTCCTCCTCTCACCTGGGGGTCAAGGGCTCCTCCCGGGGAGCTGCTCGGGGTGGGGCTGGGGGCCTCCCAGTTGGTGGAGGTTTCTCTGGTTCTTCGAATAACCTGGAGAGCGGGCAGGAGGCCTCTGTGAAGGCTGGCTTGCGGCTCCCTGACCTGCCAGGGATGCACAGGAGAGAGGAGATGAAGTGGGGTTGACCAGATGCCCCCAGGTGCCCTTTCATATGACATTCAACACAGCCCTAGCTCACCTGGGCTCCTGGATCCCTCGGGACACAGAGGGGGCTTTGCTCTTTGCTCCTGCCTCATCCTTATCAATGCTGATCCATTCTGAGGGGGCAGGAAGGGAGACTCAGAGGAGACCTGGGGTCCTGGATCCCACAGACACCCACGGGGCCTTCCAGCCCTTTCCCAGCTATGCCTTGGGGCAGACAATTCCCAGCTGTGGCTGCAGAACCTCCAGGTATCCCAGAGATTCCAACATGCCCCCGACACCCCAGTCCTGCCCTCCTAGATCTGTTCACACCACCCTATCTCATATCCCATTGAAGTCCCCACCGTAGAGCCGCTCACGGGTGCCCAGGCGCTCCGTGGGCACCCGCACCTTCATGGAGCCTCTGATATTGCCTGTCTCCTCGCCACGGTGGGACAGGAAGGTCAGGAACTGTTGGGCCGTGCTGCCAATCATGGACTTGAGTGCAACCACACATTCCCCTGAGGGGCAGATGGGACAAACCAGCAAATTACCAAGCCAATCTAGGCCCTGCCTGGCTTCCTGTTCCCCTCAGCACCCCTCACTCCTCACCATAGGATTCATAGCCATCCATGGACTTGACTGTGAGCAGGAGGTGCTGGTCCTGCAGGTACTCGATATCAGCCAGAATTGGTTTGAGCTGGGAAGCAGGGAGGCCCAGTGAGGAACAAAGCCCTGCCACTTCCTCCTGCCCCTCCCACATGCTGCCCCTGACACTACTCATTCTTCACCCTCAGGTCATCTGTGCTCACTCACACTCAACTCTTCAGAGAAGAGCCAAATCCTGAATGCAGAAGACACAGCCCTATACAGGCCTTTTACAGCACTTAGCATCACTGTAACTAATTCATTTTCTCAGTAGCTAACACAGGACCTGACATTTAGCAAAAGCTCAAGAAGCATCTCCTGAATGAACAAACTGCAACAAGGTTCCACACTCCCAGAATAAAGCAAAGGCCTTTATCCTCACTCATGCCCATATACACACACACACACACACACACACACATGCTCTGCTGGCCCCACACTCCCTCCCAGGCAGGCTCCTCAATAAACTCTTCTGCACCCCTCTCTGTGCCCTCACCCATAAGCAGAGGCCCTGCCCACAGCCTCACCGTGGGCAGCTGGCGTGAAGACCACTGCACTTTGAGGAAGTTGATGTTGTCACTGCTTTGGGCATCATTCTCAAAGCTCTTCTTGTATTCTGGGTGGGGGTGGGAGACACCCAACTGAGTACCACCTCTCAGCTTCCCTTCCCACTAAGTAGGGGGCTGACTGCACCCTCTGGCCTCCCATCCTCCTTGGCCCACACCCAGCCCCTGACCCGCCTCTGACCCTCCAGGCAGGTAGAGTAGAACTCGATGAAGAACTTGGTGCGGCTGGCTGTCTTCACAATGGCCTCGATGCTCTCAAACTCAATGTAGGCCTGGTCTGAAGTCTTCGAGAGCCCTGAGGGGAAAGGGAGAAGAGCAAACAGGAGGGCTGAGAGGATCATAGAGGAATGGGACAGAGAAGCAGGGCCCTGGGACATGAAATCAGGGGTCCAGAGCAAGGAGGCAGGGCCACCAACAGGGAAACTCCAGAGCCCAGACCCTGGACCAGAGCAAAGAGACAACCCAAGAATAAAATGCCCACTGAAGAGGATGCTGGGGACCAGAATGCCTGCGGGATTGCCACATGTCCAGGCA